ATGTATTTTCAGACATGAGGACAAGAATAGACACCGATGCGGGCTCATATGCGCCTCAGAATGTAGACATGTTATGATGTTACAAAAATACCTTATTTAATAATAATAATCAACATCATGTCAAGAATTTGCAACATAATTTGTACATCATTTGTGTGCATTTAGTGCTCATGTCATGAGATCACGTAATGATCTTTAAAAAAGTATCAAATTGGAGTCATAGTATGAAGTCACATTGTGATGAAACATGATCATCACGCATTTCTATCTGGGCAGGGTGTCACACTCTCCTCCGGGCATTTTGTGGGGACGTAGAATGGGTTGATGTAAACAAAAAAGTCCTATACCGTTTTGCGATATTTGCAATAATTATTGAGATATTAATTATAGAAAATTTGTGAATGATCATGCAGGATATGGTAAATAAGTGATAATAGCGACGACTGCCGTCATGTACTTATACTTTAGGTCAAATTGAACAAAAAAATCCTCTACCATTTTGCAAATAATCACATAGATTTTTAATTATTAATTAAAGAAGATGAGTGCATTATCACGCAAAATCGTACAATAATCTTCTTTAATTAATAATTAAAAATCTATGTGATTATTTGGAAAATATTTGTAGAGGACTTTTTTGTTCAATTTGACCTAAAGTATAAGTACACAACGGCAGTCGTCGCTACTATAACTCATTTACCATATTCTGCATGATCATTTAAAAGTTTTCTACAATTAATATCTCGATAATTATTGCAAATATCGCAAAACGGTATTTATGTTTTACGGACTTTTATGTTCACATCAACCCATTCTACGTCCCCACAAAATGCCCGGAGAAGAGTGTGAGATACCCTATATATGTATAGACTTATGCATTAGATAAATTTAAATATCTTATATCCGTATAAAAAATTGTTATAATTTTTCTCCTATATTATCTAGTATAAACAGTACATATATATTTAGAAATAGATATAACAAATATGTTTGATATTTTAAATATATATATATAATTAACTTTGCATATATTATATAGCATAACGAAACTATATATAACAAGCTTTTAGATATCAAAACTAAATTAAGAGAATTTTAAAAGTCTCTTTTTCTCTCTCTCTCTCTCTCTCTCTCTCTCTCTATATATATATATATATATATATATATATATATATATATATATATATATATAGAGAGAGAGAGAGAGAGAGAGAGAGAGAGAGAAAGAGAGAGACTTTTAAAATTCTCTTAAGTTTTGATATCTAAAAGCTTGTTATATATAATTTCGTTATGCTATATAATATATACAAAGTTAATAATGTACATCAATCAACGATCAAGAGATATGATAACACCTCGTACAATATACAGAATATCCCGCTACTACCCCATTATCTCTTAATTTCTGAAGTAATTTGAAGAAAAAAATCCTAATGTGGAACTTATAATACTTTCCAAATTATATACGATTACAGTTTACCAATTATACTGGCTAAAGTACGCGTGCTCAGGTATAGTATAACATACAATGGTACAGGTGCACATATCGCCTCTTTTTCAAATATTGATATGGAAGTTCCATATAATATGTAACAATAATCTGCTTTTCCTATCATTTAAATAAACATATCGCAAATAATAACAATTTCGTCAAAATGTTATGAATAAAATATCACACAATATATTTATGAGAATCAATAAGCTGTGACACATTTGACGTTTCTTTCAGAGATTTACAACTAATTTCATATCTTATGCAAATTCTCGCTTATGTACATACACCTGTACCATTGTATGTATCTGTACTATTGTTGTACCGTACATGAGCGCGCGTACTTTAGCCAATGTAATTGGTCAACTTTAATCGTTTATAATTTGAAAAGTACTATAGACTCGACATTTTTGCATTAGAATTTTTTTTTTTCAAATTACCTCAGGAATCCGTCCTTAAGAGATAATATGGTAGTGGGACACCCTATATATGTAAGTATGTGTCTGTTTCTTTGTGTGTATATGTATGTATGTATAGGCGCTAATATTATAAGTTTTAATATCCGGGCACACCAAATTTTTGTATTTTACTTTGGTCGATCTTAATTAAAAGCTTGTCCTATGGAATTTAGAATTTGTGTAAACTCTCAATAGAACATATATAAACTTAAAATTTATTTTTATGTTAAATAAAATTGATATATATATATATTTTTTTTATAAAGTATATTTCTTTTCAGCGTGTGCGGTCCATGTCATTCATTATGTGATTCTGCCTTTTTACAAACTAAAAACCATTTTTTATTAGATATGTCTATAAAATTTGTCCCGCCACTCCTCGTGCGCTCTTTCGCTCATATGGTTTAATTAATTTCTTAACAGATTTAATCTGTATACTACGGTTGTATTTGAAATTTTCGGACACCCTGTGTATACAGAATATTTCTGAAGTTTTCCAAGATTTTAAGATTTGGTTTTTGAGATTATTTGATTTAATATTTTAGTAATTGTTTTTTGTTTAACGAAGAAAAGCTCACATGAACATAGGCTTTAAGGATTCCTCAAGGAATAGGATTTTTAAAACGTGTTTAAAAAATTGTGTTTTAAATGTTTAAATTTTAAAACGTGTTTTAAAATTTTATATATTGAAAGTCCAATACCTTCTAAACTAATTTTATCAGAATCTATCAACATTATTTTTAGTAGATAATTAATAAAATAATGAAAATGTCCAAAAAATTTTTAATTCCGTCTACTGGCATTTCTATCTATTGGTATTACAACTTCAGAGTAGTAATATTCAACCTAAAACTAAACTCCGTTTCTACACTATTTTACAAAAACTTTTTTACAAAAACGGTGAATATAGGTAAAAAGAAAGTCTGAATAGAATATCTAAGTCCTTGTCAACAATCTTGTTTTAAGACGTAAGCTGTAAGAAATTGACCAACTACAGTTGATTATTCTAAAAATCGATTATTTTAAAAATAGACTATAGTTAATCAATTTCTTACGTCTTAAAGCAAGGTTGTGGACAAGGGCTAACGCGACTCCTGTTTGCAATGTGCAAGTAGAACTCATCAAACAGAGCGAAAAATTCATGTACCATTTTGCAATTATGTGTATTTCGAAAATAATAATTAAAGAAAATTAGGAGAGAGAGAGAGACAGAGAGAGAGAAACAGAGAGAGAGAGAGAGAGAGGGGGGGGGGAAACGGAGGGATAGAGATGAGTACGCATGATGCAATGGAACGAGCTGTTTAGACTCGTTCAAAATGGAATCTTGTTTAAAATGTCTGAATCAATTGATAATCTCCTTATAATGGTAGGAGATGCATAATGTTGGACAGTGCAATAGTGTGTTATAATACTTTCTAGCATTATGCACCGCCCACTAGATTGTTATACACACGCACATACGCGTACATTGTCATAGAAATCTTATCTAAAATATGAGTAAGCGTTATAAAGAAAATTGACATATTTTACGATAAAATTGTTCAAAATAAATGTAATGACTGTCGAGGAAATATACGATATAAAACAATCGTACCGTTTACCAATGTAAAATATCTTATTACGAAATCTTTACGTAAATACATTACCAACCAACATATTAGCATTTAACGCGACCTTCAATTTCTTCACTGAATTGAACAAACTTTTGAAGTTCCAAGAGAGTCATCCATTGCGGCTGCACGCCTCCTGATGCCTTCTAGGTAAACTTCACGATTAAAAAGCCCAGCACCAAGTGGAATTCTAAAAATAAATAACAATGTACATTTATATTGTTACTGATATATGCGTACTATTCGCTTGTTAAATATCCGTTGCTTGAAATTTTAATAAATATCAAGACACGTACGTATCAATACCCGGTCTCAGTATGGTCTTAAAAACTCCCCAGACTGGCTTGTGATCTGAAGTGCAAATACTAGGAACAGAATCGTATATTAAACATTCTATAGTACCGTCTTTACATGGATTAGCAGTGTCGTGACTGACACGTCTAATATATCCTCTGGTATGACCTTTCCCCTTGAACAAGATTCTATCGGTGTATGCTGGAGTGCGTTGCTTACTGCTGGAATCGAAATTATGTGTTCCCGGATCGTACTTATAAGTAGGAGGAAAAGTGACAGGGGCTTCTTCGAATCCACGCAGTATCGCACCTTCATTCAAGATAGTTCTCAATTGATCTTTATGTAAGTTTATCGGTGACTCTTGCGGAAAGCACGTATTCGTGATCCACTGAATTACTTCTTCTCTTGGTTGAACTAAACGAAAATTCAAATCCCCGCACCAAAACACGCAATCAAAATTTTGTGTAACATCTGAAATATAAGATATGCACAATATACTATGCACAATATATAGAATGCAAAAGAATACTATCCTACAAATCGATACCTTTGCTCTTATGTTTAGTGGGTAGCTCCTTGGGAAGGTCAAGATTCCTAATGATTCTCTTTATATCGTTAACTCGTTCTTTCACTTTATCTTGATGCGCAGTCAAATGAGCGGTGACAAAGAGAAAACTTGTGCCAAATATCATGAGAGCTATGGCCACAGCACCCTTAGTTCTAAATGCCGTTCCAGTTCTCGTGGAGAAACTATCCTCTTCCGGAATGGAGCAGAACCAGATTAGATCTCGTCTCAAAAACAATGCAAGATGCAGTGTACCGAGGCTACTGCTAGTAAGCAGTACGTGCGAAGGGCCGAGAGTTTCTTGCAAAGCCGCTTCCCACTCGTTTCGTTCGGAACATGATTCTTGTGTGCCTATAGCTAATAAATCAGGAATGGTCTCTATATCGGGAGGTAACATAAAATCGTTTAATTCTTTCGGCGGAGTCTGTCCATTCATGTTCCATGTGCCAATAAAAATTCTTAATTCTCGATTTGGCAACACTTTCTCGAGTTCTACTGGTCCGAGTAAAGAATTGGCAGCAATTCTTCCGTGAAGAAAATTCCTGCAAAATTAAGTTATCAGTAAACGAGAACTAATGTCAACGAGATATACTTTCTCTAAAAAGTTTAAAAAGTCATATATACCTTTCTCGTGCTTTCTGTGTAGGTATTAAATTTAATACTTGTGCGGCAAGTAAAGATTGTTTTGCTAAACTATCCATAGACGCTCCTGTTGTCTGACAAAAATAACGATCTTTTCTTTTAGACAGAGCATCATGTGACGTTGAACGTGGCTTATGCTGTATCGGTGCACTTTTAATAGATTCTGGACTAGAATGTCTCATTGAGTTTGTTGGCGAATTCACGATTAAATTATCCGCGGATCTTCTATGTAACAGTTTACGACGTAATTGTCCTGGTATATTCGGGGACTGCGATCCAGAGGAAGAGTTTTCACCTGAAACATTTTATTATATATCACATACAAAATTTTCTTTTAAAGAATTCTTATGAGTCGTGATAGCGCCAAAAAATAAAAAAAGATACTTGAAACGTTATTGAAACATATTTGAAACATTATTTTGAAAACATAAAATATGAGTATTGAGAAATACAATAAGCTTAAGAAAATAATATGCTTAGAAATTAAGATTCGTAATGAAATCTTCTATAATAAAACCAAATTAGTTCAATTATTGTCTACTATAAAGTCTTAACTAATGTACAATTTCCAACATTACTAGTATATTATGACATATAAATTTGTTAATATTTATTCACCTAACATAGTTACGAGCTAAAATTTGAAATTTTCCAGTACGATTGTATCGTAGAATCGTTTAAATAATATAGTTATATATATTTAAAACTAGAACAGTCAATCATCTTATAAAACATTATTAAGTCAATAGTCCATGCTATTTGAATTTATATTTAACAACTTGTCATTTTCGTTAAAAAAAAATATATATATATATATATATATATATATATATATATATATATGTTGTAAGATTTTTATAAATTCAATTTTTTAGAGAAATTTTTTTTTTATAAAATAGTAATATTTTCTTGCAATTATTGCAAAGCTCTTGCAACAAATGTAAAATCTCCTATTAAATATATATCTGAATCCTATTATTTCAATTTAAAAGATTAGAAGTTAGATGTATAAAATATATACAATTATAGCTGCATATAAACATTACAATATTAAGTTTATTACTTAAAGTTTACGTTTCTAATTTAACTAGGTATAAAACAATTATATATATTGTTTGATAGAAGTAAAAATATAGAAGTTTGATAGAATTAAAAATATACATATTTTTAATTTAATAATGCTAATATTTGCTGAGAAAAATTTAATATTCCATAATAACAAAATGTATAAGAATATGTTCTAGCAAAAACATAATATTCTAATCTTAAGCAGCATATAAATTTCATGTATTATTTTATACCTTCTTTTTCTGGTTTTTCACAAGCAGTATCATGATACTGAACCATTTTGTAAACTTCTGAAGGATTGTAGAACTGCCGTTCCATTTCCAGGAAGAAATAAGTGATATACTTTCCTTTTGTAAAATACTCATCCTTTAAGTATTTTTGAGTTTTTTCTGACTCAATTAAATGTTCATTTTCATCTTCTGAAGATTCTTCGAACGAGTCTTCCGTTGAGTCTGCAGAGAAGTCACTATCTTCACTACTCTCTTGACAAATTGCTTTCATTTCTTTTACTACAAATGCGCATATATTATTTGTAACATTAACATTATTAGTACAAGGTTGTAAATTTGCGCTTTTCAAATCAGAATCGAAATATTCTGTTCTATTATCAGTATTTTTCAAATACGATTGAGAAGTTACGCATAAATTATTATCCTCCTTTAAAAACGCCATTTTTGTACTCAAATATCTGTCTGACCCTAATTTACATTTCTCCTGCTCATTTTTTGTAACGTAATATTTTTTACATTCTAGTTTCTTATTATTTTCTATATCATGAGTTTCCAATCTGAAACTCTTGTTATTTTTTATAGTAATAACATTTTGACAACTTTGTTGCACATACATATCTGAAATATCTTTATCATTATATTCTTCTGTTCCAAACGAACTATCTTTTGCCGTTATACAAGTTTCATTTTTGCTAATGGCTAGCGGTGCAATCTTATCATCAGAGTTATGAGGTATATTCTCCAAATTATTAGATTGCCTATTATACGCTGCCATCTGCCCATAAAACTCTGATTGTTGTCCTAATTCATCGTATTTCCTTTTAAATATACGTGATATTTTGTTAAGAAATGAACTTTTTCCTTTTTTTTTATTTATACTCGACATTTTTAACAAACTGTTCGCACTTTGAATAATCAATAACTGTACGTGTCAAAAATAAAATGATAACTGACTGTTACTAGAACCACGTCTACAATCGTCACAGTTTTATATCGATACACTGAAAATGTTGCGCTTTACCGTGCGGCTTTAAAACGTAAGATGGTGGGGATATACAAGGTCATCTGATCACCATTCAACTACATTACACAATGTACATAATGAGGAAAATTGCAAAGGAGTCACGCCTAGTTAAAATTAGATATGAGAGAATTGAAGCTTTTATTTTTATAGCATTAAAATACATTCTTCTTTTTCTCAAAATATTTTCAGAGTAAAATATCAAAAAGTATTATAAGCATTTATCATTCTGTTATTCAATTAGTACTAATTATCTAGACATGTTTATTTATCAATTAATCAATCATCAAAACAGATAATTTTTTATATGCAAATTCAATAAATTTTGCAAACATTAATAAAACGACTTAGGATGAATATAATTATGATATATAAACTTACCTTCTACATAAATATTATGGCACTGTTTCTTTGTTATTGCTATGCTATTCTTTTTGATCATAGTCTCTTGAATCTGAGCATCAGTCTCAACACATATCTCTTCTTTCTTGAGTGGTACATTTGTTTGACAATCTCCATTCACAGAAGCTACTTCAGATCTCACTGAAGTGTGACTTAAAGTTGTTGGAGAAAGTCTACTAACAGTTAAGCTCTGAGGTGGTGTTCTACTACGTTCAGTCATGGCGCAACACAAAGACAGTTTAGTACTGGTTTGAGATCCATGTTGTGAACTGTTTAACTTAGAATTTTTATTTGAATCCTCATTCTTATAAGATTGCTCTAAGCAACCAACTTTAGTCTTCTTGTTCATCAGCATACGACAAAGAGACTTCTTCTTTTGCTTTAATTTTGGAGAAACATCTACCTTGGCAACATTTGAAACACTACAAATTTCATTTCCTTCGCTCTGCTCCATAATACTTCAGCTGTATCATTTAATGTGATTTGAGACTTGTAATTTATATTATGTATCTTTTAATTATATGAATATTATAGAATTATTATAGAACTTTGTTCTATACCTAAATGTTTAGCAACTTTTTCAATAAGTAACAAATATAAATGCATTATTTTTATTGGAAATTATGTAGAATAGTATATTTATATAATACTTAGAATTTCTTATATATTCACTGTTGACTAGTTAAAGATATCACTTGGAATATCTTGAACATTCCACTATATATCATAAATAATTTTTAAGAATTCTGCACAGAAGAAATTATAACATTATATCTTACAAATACTTATGGTTTGCTTTGATGCTTTGATACTGGTTGTGCCATTGAATATAATTGTGCTATTAATCAACCATTTGCCATGATTACATATCAATCTTAATATTTAATCATGCGAGTAGAAACTCGTAATTTATCAAGTAATCGTATTTATATCAACGAATATTTTTGGGCTTTAGACTAGATGCGCAGATCATAATGTATAATATTTCAAATTGGCGTATCTACTCAATCTGTGTGACCGTACTAGTACAGTTGCATTTTCATTCTGGAGACATATGAAAAATCACTCAACATTAAGTAACTACGTTGCTTCTAATTGTATTTCGATCGATCAGTTGCGCCAGCATTGTAGTCTTCAAAACTTTAATTCAACAATGTCATCCCATCTAATTTCCATAGTTCAATTTCAATTTCCTGATTCGTGTGTTTGTTTTTTCGCTTTCATAAGATTCGGTTCAACGATCATAAACTTAATCGCACTAACACTGATGAATCGATGCGTCGTTCACTCCTCTAAATTTATAACAAACCAACTTTGATTTGATTGAATGCATGTTTGAACGCTTGCTATCAGAACTCTAACTTCAGCTTCCATTTCTAGCAGTTGCGACGACAAGTCGATACTTGACTCAGCCCACATTACTTACGAATGCGCAGACCGTTCATTTTTTCATTAATCTATTGTGCTGCCGAAATAAGTTGTGCATTGTAATTTCTCCAATACACACCTACGTATAATACTATATTTCCGTCGGTGATTTATTTCACTATTACAAGGCGGCCACGATTTTTATAACAAACGACAAATCGATCGTTGTAAATTATCTGTTGATAAACTGCATTCCAAAATATACTGATAGAATAAAAAATCCATAGTATACATAACGTGAACTATCGAGCATTCATAGGCTGCATTCCAATATCAGAGAGAAGGAGAGGCGTCATGGGTCGGTTTTAGGTGATCCCGATTTCAGTTGAATGGCTACAGCGCCTCTAATCAATTGTGTACATAAACTACGTAGCCAATGTGCACGAATTGTCTCAGTGGGTAAAGAAGTAATATCCACGATTCTGTTCCGTGCTATATTCATGATCCCATATAGCACCGATAGATTGCAAAAACATTGCAATAATCTTTCACCGCAATATTGCAAATTCACTGCAAAATGTTGCTGCATCGTTGCTGTTGAATTGCAACAACGTTAAAATGTTCGCTTTTTGGAAGATTGCAACAAAATATTACAACAATATTGAATGTTATGAATTTGCAATAATGCATTGTTATTGCAACAATACACTAATGTTGCATATAAATGGTATATAAATGGTATATAAATGTAAATAAATCCCCAGATAGCCAAACCTGTGCGAGCAGATTTTACGCAGAGTCTGTCAACAATATCTGTTGACAGAATGGCAACAGACTGCACACAGAAACTGTTTTAGCAGTCTCTGACGACAGATTGGTGACAGATTGTGCGCAGAGCCTGTCGACAGACTCTGACGACAGACTGCCGACAGACTGCGCGCAGATTCTGTTTCCTAGATAGGCTATTTAATTCTATTAAGGGCCATATGTACGTTATTAAATGGGGCAGTTTCACATACACCATGCTGCAAAGAAGTCAAGATAATTATATTGTGCAATAATTGTACACATATACACAATAAAAAACAATGTTTATATTTTAAAATTGTATTACACATTTTTTATAAAAAAACAACAATAATAGAGAAATAACGAGTACAAGTATAGAATAGTACAACGGTTAAATGGCCATTTAAAGGCGTACACATGTCATTCCTGGTAAAAATTGTTCTCATAAT